CACCCCCCCCCCCCCCCAACCCAAAATATAGACTTATTTTGAAATAAGTCCGGTAAAAAAATTTATTTGGTTTTAAGTCTATTTTTTGTCAAATTTACTATTGTACCCCTACCCTTTGGAAAAGTAAAAATCGACGTCTGACTTATCGTCTCCTTCATATAAGTTAGATCATTGAGGTATATATGGAAACTCTTGATTAAGTTATATATAGAAATTGTTTATTAAATATTATGATAATTTTATATGGAAGTTATATGTTCTGATAGTTATATATGAAACCTTGATGTACAAATAAATCGTTGGTCTATAAAATTAAAATCAGATCACAAAATTTCTTTAATAATTCAAAATTTCCTTAACATTAGTGTTACTATAGTAACACTAATTTTACTATAGTGACACAAATGAGATTGTTTTCCTTGAAATATTCAATATCCAAAATGAAGAATTCCACCATTTTAAATAGTAACACAAACCCAACCCCAATTTTCACTTACGCTACCAATTACAAACCTTTAGACATATATTATGTAAAATACACATTTAATTTTGACAGTAACATCAAAGGTTTGTACTCAGTAACACAACGACTTTTACAAAATACAAGGCAATAGGATTTTCACAGTAATATCAATTTTCGAAAGATTATAATGAAAAAAATGATCCACAAATTAAAAATTTACAAAATTTGTAGTAGTAACACACTGTTGACAGTTGAATTAGGACACTCAACACCAATCAAAAACATTAATACATCGAAATTGTGAAATCTATTTTTCAGTTATCATACAGTAACATGATCTATTTCACAGCCATACAATTAAGGTATTTCGAATGTCTTGAACAACAAAGAAAACAACAAAATTAAATTATATAACACTTTAATTTAGTAATAATGAATCTCAATTTTTAAATTAGGAATGCAAAAAACAACAGACAGTTTGAACTATATATTATGTAGAAGTTTTTTAAAACCCTATAATGAACATCAACTTTCATATATCACATATCTTAACTCTATTTTTGAATTTCAAAGTTGTGAAGATGTTTTGAATGCAACGAATCAACTGTAACTTTGTCAATAGATTCCACAGTAAACTTGAAGAGTAAAATCAAAATTGGGATTTAGTTTGTGTTACTATTTGAAATCATGGAATTCTTCATTTTAGGTATTGAGTATTTTAAGGAAAACAATCTCATTCGTGTTACTATAGTAACATTAGTGTTAAGGAAATTTGTGATATGATTTTGAGTTAATAGACCAACGATTTATTCGTACATCAAACTACCATAAATAATTATCGAAAAATATAGTTTCTATATAAAACTTTCGTTAATTATCATAATATTTAATAAACGGTTTCCATATATAACTCAATCAAGAATTTTCATATATACCTCAATGATCTAACTTACTGGGCAAAACTAACAACGTTAGAGATAATTTTTAGATTTAAAAAATAAGTGAACTTGAGCACCTACATATAAGTTTAAATATGGACTTACCCCTAAATAAGTTTTTTTCCAAGACTCGGGTCATTATAAATTCATTTAGAGGGATTCACCTTCAATTTTTACAAAATTATTTGATTCTATAAAAAGGCAAAAGGGTCGTTTTAAATTTTTTAGTATGTCCGTTAGTGGGCTATTATTGATAAGATGTGTGAATATAATATGTCATATTTAAGGAAATTTGTGTGATTTAGTGATAAATTTCAAATGATCTGAATGTAATTTACCCAAACTTAAAAATCTCATCCACACTTCAAAAATTATAGAATTCCATCTATGATTGAGTTAGTATTATAAATTTTAACTTCTACCATAATTGAGGGTAGGCCTTTTTTGTTTTTTTTCTAACCCGCGGCATTTCTAGTATTTTTTTTTTTTTTTGAAGTTCGTTACTAGATCAATCATATACGTGTTTAAACTTAGAAAACTTAAAAAAAACACTTTTTGAAGCATCTAAAGGTCTTATAATAGAGAAAATAACCAACACAATTATAATAATACCCATCATCACTTAAAGGTAATATTACAACTAAACAACGAAAAATCACAACACAGATGGAGTTTCCCGCGTACACCGGCCATACTGCTTATTGAGTTCCCCATGATTGTGCCCTGCCAATTATGGTATGTGGATATGATGCACCACAGCTGCTTGCTTTAAACCTCAATCCGAACTTGATCCAAGAGGGATTTCCCAAGAGACTGGAGTTGTTGCTGCTCCACGTACTCCTTGTAATTCATTGGACGCTATGCAGCGGGATGTTTTTCACTGTCTACCAACTTGGAAGCTGGGCCAACACTTGTTTCGAAAGAGGGTCCATTGGCCATTGCTATAGAGACTCTTGTAACTTTGTTATTCAGAATCGCTCGATGCATGAGAGTCTTGTACTTCCCATTGCTGAAAATCTGGCAAAACACAACTTAAACAAATCAACACATTCTGACAAACTTGTACTATGCAGGTAGAAATCAACACATTTAGATGATCATGAGTTATATATAACTTAGAATCGATCAGAGATTAGCAGGAGAAACATTTACCTCAAGCTGATCGGCAGTGTTTACCAGAAAAGAGATAGGAAGGGGATTGATACTGACCCACTTTCCATTGTGTTGCACTTGAAGGCCTGGAACATCATTCTGTATAAGGAGGGTGAAGAGGCCATGATCTGAATGAGGTGGCAAACCCATTGCGAGTTCAGGCTGTGGACAAGGTGGATATAGATTGGCAGAAAAGACTTGCGCACTTGAGTCCAAATTCAAGGTTTTTTTCCACATAATCGCTGTCCAATCCTAGGCTCTCCGATATTCCTTTGAGTAATTCTCTTACTATTCTCCTGCCACTGTTGCAATACTCCAATGCAACCTCACTGCAGCAGCCACGAGTCAAAATTTGAGTAAAAATTTTAGATTTAATAAAAAATATTTCAATTGACAAACTCAAATTTAAAAGAGGACGAATTCAAATTTAATAAGATTAAATCTATATTAAAATAAGGGTGAAATATGACTATTAAAACATTAAAAGAGAATAAAATTTGACTATTAAAACTTTAAATTTTCCGTGATTTGAATAAAAATTTGACGCCGNAGAGGCCATGATCTGAATGAGGTGGCAAACCCATTGCGAGTTCAGGCTGTGGACAAGGTGGATATAGATTGGCAGAAAAGACTTGCGCACTTGAGTCCAAATTCAAGGTTTTTTTCCACATAATCGCTGTCCAATCCTAGGCTCTCCGATATTCCTTTGAGTAATTCTCTTACTATTCTCCTGCCACTGTTGCAATACTCCAATGCAACCTCACTGCAGCAGCCACGAGTCAAAATTTGAGTAAAAATTTTAGATTTAATAAAAAATATTTCAATTGACAAACTTAAATTTAAAAGATGACGAATTCAAATTTAATAAGATTAAATTTATATTAAAATAAGAGTGAAATATGACTATTAAATCATTAAAAGAGAATAAAATTTGACTATTAAAATTTTAAATTTTCCGTGATTTGAATAAAAATTTGACGCCGGCTTGTTTTGGTCTTACAAAACAGCTTTTTATTCTTAAAATTTAAAAAATAAGGAGGAAGCTATTTGATTTGTTTTTTGGTTCTTCAGTTAAAAAACAGGGAAGCCGAGAGCAAAAAATTGAAAACAAACATTGTTCTGAGAAAAGGCCTCATATAAAAGGCTTTTTCTTATCCCCCAAGCCAAAGGCTGTTGTCTCTCCTTCAGCACCTCTCTCTCTCACACACACACACAACTCTCTCCGTCGACGGGAAGAAGCACCTCCGTTCAGTCGAAGCTTTAGCTCCGTCAACAGGAAACACCACAACTCAGTAGACGACATCTCTCTTGCAACTCATCTCCCCCTATTTATTAATAAATTATATTTAAATTTTTTGAAATTTGTAAACATATATTGCTTACACCCTTTGATTTAAAATGTAATAGTTAGACCAAAAATATTTTAATCAAAAATAAAGTATTAATTATTTTAAATTTTACAATTAAAATTCATATTCTATTCTATCATTTATTAAAATAAAATCAAAAATAAAAATGACATAAGCCCTATGTTTGATTTTTTTTAATTTTATTCTAATAGATAATATAATTGTATAATAATTATGATTTTTTAAGAAAAAGTTAAATTTTATTTCAATAAAATGATACAATAGAACATGAATTTTAATTGTAAAATTTAAAATATTTGATATTTTATCTTTAATTAAAATATTTTTTTTATAATATTTTAAACTTAAGGAGTATAAATATTATATAGCTATAAACTTCAAAAGATTTAAGCGTAATTCATTAATGGATATGTTTACAACATGCCTGCAAACCTCGGGGAGGTCTCTGTGTAATATTTTAAATGTTAGAGGTCTGAGTGATTAAATGATAAATTTTAAAAAAAATTGGTGTAATTCAATAAATAAAAAATGGGGTGGGAGGTTTGTGGATCATTGTTTAAAATTTTTTTATTATTTTATATGCTTTAAAATTATTATTAAAAACATATAACCAAACCAGTTTTGCAACTCTTCTCAAAATTAAGTTGCAATCTAAACACAGCCCGAGTCTTCTTTAAATTAATATGAGTTTGAGTTAAAGTCTGGAACTTATTTTTAATTAATTTTAAATTTTAGTCTAGATTTCAGTAAAAGTAGGAGATAGTCTAACGACCTCTAATGTTACTCAAATTTTTATTCAAATATAGGTTAATATTTGAGTAAAAAATTTGATTCAATACAAAACACTACAATCAAAAAATTTAAATTTAAATTTAAAGTTGGATAAACTTAAATTTAAAAAAATATAAAATACGACCATTAAATTTAAAAAAAAAATAAAATCTGTCTATTAAAAAATTTGAATATCCTGTGGCTAAGTGAATGAGAGGATGTGATGAATATATCTGTACCTCAAACCTATAGGTTTGTTGGGATAGAGAAACTGATCCGGCTGCACAAAGAGCTTTAGAAAATCTCTCCACAAGAAAATTTTGCCGTTTGAAGTAGTCAAGCTTGTACCGCACTTGATTGGGTCTAAACTTTTCTTTCCTGCAAACTCCTTTTTCTCCTTCTTTTTAAGATTGAAAAATTCCGTACTCGCATCGATGATCCCCTTCAGCAGACACTCAGGTACACCATGATTGATCACCTGACACCCATCAACCAACACACATACTCATGTTCAACAAGCCCACGCTGGGTACTTTTCGACACTACTTAGATGTTACGAGTGGGTAATTTACCATAAAAACAATTTTTACTACTTTTTTAATTGCCACAACAGCAGTGAAAAACATCCACAATAATAATAAACCTACTCACAAATGTAATAAAAAGGAAGGAAAAAAGACTAAGATTTAAGAGAATACTGTGTTGAAGTTGGATACGATGATATATATACCATGGAGAGGCCCCATTCTTGACAGGCTTTGTCAAGGTCTTGTATGGCTTTGGAGCGCTGTTCAGGAACAGCAGAGGTGAGCAAGGAAAAATCAATAATAGGGATTGAAACTTCTTCCTCAAAAACACCGGGATTAGTTGGGGTGTAGGCATAGATGTAGGGTTGTTAACCTTCGATACGACACGATTAATCGATATCAATTAAATGAATTTGAGTGAGATCTTAAAAAATTCATAAGAAAAAAAGAAGTAAAGAAATGAATAAAAATAAATAAATAAAGTAGTAGTTCAAATGAGGAGAAGATGGAGAGGGTTGAGTTGCCTATAAAAAAACAATGACCTCTTGCTTTTCTTTTTAAGCCTTCAAATCTTTTTTTTATGAAATATGAGATTTGACTAAAAATTCCTTTTTTTTGAGATAAGTGCAATTGACAATAAAAAAGTTGAGTATTAAAATTTATTAAAATAATTTTTTAAAATTAAACGGGTTAAACGAGTCGTGTCGTGTTCGTGTTGAGATTTTTCACTCGTTTACTAAACGTGTCATATACGGGTTTATACATTTTTCACCCGTCACCCGTTTAATCCAACACGTAACCGTTTAACACGAGACGTAACCATTTAACCCGATACGTTTGGCACTCCTACATAGATGGAAGGGATGGTTTTGAGATCAGCCGATTCAGTTAGTGTTTTGATGCTTGTCACCTCCTATGGTTGGACATTAGAAGTTGCCGGAGGGAATTGGGTTGGAGCTGTGGTGGCCATTTGAGACAGAGACAGAGTGCGAGAGGATGAGTATGAGAGAGAGTACAAAAATCTTCTCTTCTTGGTGGTGGACATCTACGCTCTCGTAAACATATTATTTATACCAGTAGCAACGCACATCGCTCAAGGATCAGGATAGGCACGTGTCTATCCTCAAAATTTTTATATTATATTTTTTTAAATATATTTAATTATGCTCATCTTATTATTTTTTTAAAAAAATATTATTGATACTTAATTTGATGACTTAATTTAGAGATCTAATTTAATATAATCATTGAATTAAAAACAGGTTTTATCTAACCTTGAAATTCACGACTAATCTAACAGTTACATTAAATTAGGTATTTATAACATTATTCTATTTTTTATCATATTAATTAGTACATACTCATATCTAAATGACTAACTAGGGGTGTTCATGGATCGGGTAGTCCAAATATCTCGTTATCCGACGAAAAAAATAGGCTCGAACCTTGATAGTTAACTTAAGTTTGACCTCAATATCTTTCAAGAGAGAGATTAGACCTACCCCGTGACCCATTATCCAGCCTAATAATTCATTTTATTATACATGTTGTGTATGAATTTGTATATTTTTCATCTATCACCCGTTTAATCTGACATATAACTATTTAACTTAACAAGATTGACATTCTACTTGTCCATAAAAATCCATTGAAACCTAATCACAAAGTAGAGATGTCAGTGGACCGAAGCAGAGGGCGAAGGGAATAGTTTCTATCCTCGTACCGGCTTAAAAAACCTTCGTTCATCTCTGATCCACACCCATTTACAGGTATAATTTTTATTCATGTCCCCGTCCACGGGNACAGGAAACACCACAACTCAGTAGACGACATCTCTCTTGCAACTCATCTCCCCCTATCTCTCTTCAGTAGATCTATATATATATATATATACAAATTTGTGTATATATACAGATTTGAACATAAATCTCTGTATGTGTATATATTATGCGATGTGTGTCTACTGTGCGAGTGTGTTGGTTCACTGTGCGATGTGTGTACGTGTGTGTGTTTGCTGTTTAAGAAAATGGGGGAAAGTGAGAGAAGTGAAAGACAGAGACAGGACCGGAGAGAGAAGAAAGAGGAGTGATAAGATAAAGGGCGAATTACACGTAGATTCGGTGAAGTTTGTGAATTAATCATGTAGATTTTAAATTTTCAAAAGTTTGTACGCATGGAGGACTTAAATGGAGGACTTAAACTCTGTTGTAAATATATTTATTAATAAATTATATTTAAATTTTTTGAAATTTGTAAACATATATTCCTTACACCCTTTGATTTAAAATGTAATAGTTAGACCAAAAATATTTTAATCAAACATAAATTATTAATTATTTTAAATTTTACAATTAAAATTCATATTCTATTCTATCATTTATTAAAATAAAATCAAAAATAAAAATGACATAAGCCCTATGTTTGATTTTTTTTAATTTTATTCTAATAGATAATATAATTGTATAATAATTATGATTTTTTAAGAAAAAGTTAAATTTTATTTCAATAAAATGATACAATAGAACATGAATTTTAATTGTAAAATTTAAAATATTTGATATTTTATCTTTAATTAAAATATTTTTTTTATAATATTTTAAACTTAAGGAGTATAAATATTATATAGCTATAAACTTCAAAAGATTTAAGCGTAATTCATTAATGGATATGTTTACAACATGCCTGCAAACCTCGGGGAGGTCTCTGTGTAATATTTTAAATGTTAGAGGTCTGAGTGATTAAATGATAAATTTTAAAAAAAATTGGTGTAATTCAATAAATAAAAAATGGGGTGGGAGGTTTGTGGATCATTGTTTAAAATTTTTTTATTATTTTATATGCTTTAAAATTATTATTAAAAACATATAACCAAACCAGTTTTGCAACTCTTCTCAAAATTAAGTTGCAATCTAAACACAACCCGAGTCTTCTTTAAATTAATATGAGTTTGAGTTAAAGTCTGGAACTTATTTTTAATTAATTTTAAATTTTAGTCTAGATTTCAGTAAAAGTAGGAGATAGTCTAACGACCTCTAATGTTACTCAAATTTTTATTCAAATATAGGTTAATATTTGAGTAAAAAATTTGATTCAATACAAAACACTACAATCAAAAAATTTAAATTTAAATTTAAAGTTGGATAAACTTAAATTTAAAAAAATATAAAATACGACCATTAAATTTAAAAAAAAAATAAAATCTGTCTATTAAAAAATTTGAATATCCTGTGGCTAAGTGAATGAGAGGATGTGATGAATATATCTGTACCTCAAACCTATAGGTTTGTTGGGATAGAGAAACTGATCCGGCTGCACAAAGAGCTTTAGAAAATCTCTCCACAAGAAAATTTTGCCGTTTGAAGTAGTCAAGCTTGTACCGCACTTGATTGGGTCTAAACTTTTCTTTCCTGCAAACTCCTTTTTCTCCTTCTTTTTAAGATTGAAAAATTCCGTACTCGCATCGATGATCCCCTTCAGCAGACACTCAGGTACACCATGATTGATCACCTGACACCCATCAACCAACACACATACTCATGTTCAACAAGCCCATGCTGGGTACTTTTCGACACTACTTAGATGTTACGAGTGGGTAATTTACCATAAAAACAATTTTTACTACTTTTTTAATTGCCACAACAGCAGTGAAAAACATTCACAATAATAATAAACCTACTCACAAATGTAATAAAAAGGAAGGAAAAAAGATTAAGATTTAAGAGAATACTGTGTTGAAGTTGGATACGATGATATATATACCATGGAGAGGCCCCATTCTTGACAGGCTTTGTCAAGGTCTTGTATGGCTTTGGAGCGCTGTTCAGGAACAGCAGAGGTGAGCAAGGAAAAATCAATAATAGGGATTGAAACTTCTTCCTCAAAAACACCGGGATTAGTTGGGGTGTAAGCATAGATGTAGGGTTGTTAACCTTCGATACGACACGATTAATCGATACGAATTAAATGAATTTGAGTGAGATCTTAAAAAATTAACAAAAAAAAAAGAAGTAAAGAAAATGAATAAAAATAAATAAATAAAGTAGTAGTTCAAATGAGGAGAAGATGGAGAGGGTTGAGTTGCCTATAAAAAACAATGACCTCTTGCTTTTCTTTTTAAGCCTTCAAATCTTTTTTTTATGAAATATGAGATTTGACTAAAAATTCTTTTTTTTTGAGATAAGTGCAATTGACAATAAAAAAGTTGAGTATTAAAATTTATTAAAATAATTTTTTAAAATTAAACGGGTTAAACGAGTCGTGTCGTGTTCGTGTTGAGATTTTTCACTCGTTTACTAAACGTGTCATATACGGGTTTATACATTTTTCACCCGTCACCCGTTTAATCCAACACGTAACCGTTTAACACGACACGTAACCATTTAACCCGATACGTTTGGCACTCCTACATAGATGGAAGGGATGGTTTTGAGATCAGCCGATTCAGTTAGTGTTTTGATGCTTGTCACCTCCTATGGTTGGACATTAGAAGTTGCCGGAGGGAATTGGGTTGGAGCTGTGGTGGCCATTTGAGACAGAGACAGAGTGCGAGAGGATGAGTATGAGAGAGAGTACAAAAATCTTCTCTTCTTGGTGGTGGACATCTACGCTCTCGTAAACATATTATTTATACCAGTAGCAACGCACATCGCTCAAGGATCAGGATAGGCACGTGTCTATCCTCAAAATTTTTATATTATATTTTTTTAAATATATTTAATTATGCTCATCTTATTATTTTTTTAAAAAAATATTATTGATACTTAATTTGATGACTTAATTTAGAGATCTAATTTAATATAATCATTGAATTAAAAACAGGTTTTATCTAACCTTGAAATTCACGACTAATCTAACAGTTACATTAAATTAGGTATTTATAACATTATTCTATTTTTTATCATATTAATTAGTACATACTCATATCTAAATGACTAACTAGGGGTGTTCATGGATCGGGTAGTCCAAATATCTCGTTATCCGACGAAAAAAATAGGCTCGAACCTTGATAGTTAACTTAAGTTTGACCTCAATATCTTTCAAGAGAGAGATTAGACCTACCCCGTGACCCATTATCCAGCCTAATAATTCATTTTATTATACATGTTGTGTATAAATTTGTATATTTTTCATCTATCACCCGTTTAATCTGACATATAACTATTTAACTTAACAAGATTGACATTCTACTTGTCCATAAAAATCCATTGAAACCTAATCACAAAGTAGAGATGTCAGTGGACCGAAGCAGAGGGCGAAGGGAATAGTTTCTATCCTCGTACCGGCTTAAAAAACCTTCGTTCATCTCTGATCCACACCCATTTACAGGTATAATTTTTATTCATGTCCCCGTCCACGGGTATATTTCTAATCCTCGCCCCCGTCCTTGTCCCCGCTCAAGCATAAGCCCAAGCCTAACCCAAGCCCAAGTTCAAACAAATGTAAGTTAGGATTAAACTTCGAATTAAGAGATAAAAAAAATACTAGCAATTACNGGTATATTTCTAATCCTCGCCCCCGTCCTTGTCCCCGCTCAAGCATAAGCCCAAGCCCAAGTTCAAACAAATGTAAGATAGGATTAAACATCGAATTAAGAGATAAAAAAAATACTAGCAATTATCTTAGAATTGCTGCACAATATTCCTAAAGGGTCATAGGGCAGAATTAACAGCAATTGAGAGAAAATTCCATGGAAAACAGTTCTAACCAAAATAAAGAAAGTCAATTAAACAATATTATCCTTCGAGATACTCAATAAGGCTAAACNGCTTACACCCTTTGATTTAAAATGTAATAGTTAGACCAAAAATATTTTAATCAAAAATAAAGTATTAATTATTTTAAATTTTACAATTAAAATTCATATTCTATTCTATCATTTATTAAAATAAAATCAAAAATAAAAATGACATAAGCCCTATGTTTGATTTTTTTTAATTTTATTCTAATAGATAATATAATTGTATAATAATTATGATTTTTTAAGAAAAAGTTAAATTTTATTTCAATAAAATGATACAATAGAACATGAATTTTAATTGTAAAATTTAAAATATTTGATATTTTATCTTTAATTAAAATATTTTTTTTATAATATTTTAAACTTAAGGAGTATAAATATTATATAGCTATAAACTTCAAAAGATTTAAGCGTAATTCATTAATGGATATGTTTACAACATGCCTGCAAATCTCGGGGAGGTCTCTGTGTAATATTTTAAATATTAGAGGTCTGAGTGATTAAATGATAAATTTTAAAAAAATTTGGTGTAATTCAATAAATAAAAAATGGGGTGGGAGGTTTGTGGATCATTGTTTAAAATTTTTTTATTATTTTATATGCTTTAAAATTATTATTAAAAACATATAACCAAACCAGTTTTGCAACTCTTCTCAAAATTAAGTTGCAATCTAAACACAACCCGAGTCTTCTTTAAATTAATATGAGTTTGAGTTAAAGTCTGGAACTTATTTTTAATTAATTTTAAATTTTAGTCTAGATTTCAGTAAAAGTAGGAGATAGTCTAACGACCTCTAATGTTACTCAAATTTTTATTCAAATATAGGTTAATATTTGAGTAAAAAATTTGATTCAATACAAAACACTACAATCGAAAAATTTAAATTTAAATTTAAAGTTGGATAAACTTAAATTTAAAAAAATATAAAATACGACCATTAAATTTAAAAAAAAAATAAAATCTGTCTATTAAAAAATTTGAATATCCTGTGGCTAAGTGAATGAGAGGATGTGATGAATATATCTGTACCTCAAACCTATAGGTTTGTTGGGATAGAGAAACTGATCCGGCTGCACAAAGAGCTTTAGAAAATCTCTCCACAAGAAAATTTTGCCGTTTGAAGTAGTCAAGCTTGTACCGCACTTGATTGGGTCTAAACTTTTCTTTCCTGCAAACTCCTTTTTCTCCTTCTTTTTAAGATTGAAAAATTCCGTACTCGCATCGATGATCCCCTTCAGCAGACACTCAGGTACACCATGATTGATCACCTGACACCCATCAACCAACACACATACTCATGTTCAACAAGCCCACGCTGGGTACTTTTCGACACTACTTAGATGTTACGAGTGGGTAATTTACCATAAAAACAATTTTTACTACTTTTTTAATTGCCACAACAGCAGTGAAAAACATCCACAATAATAATAAACCTACTCACAAATGTAATAAAAAGGAAGGAAAAAAGACTAAGATTTAAGAGAATACTGTGTTGAAGTTGGATACGATGATATATATACCATGGAGAGGCCCCATTCTTGACAGGCTTTGTCAAGGTCTTGTATGGCTTTGGAGCGCTGTTCAGGAACAGCAGAGGTGAGCAAGGAAAAATCAATAATAGGGATTGAAACTTCTTCCTCAAAAACACCGGGATTAGTTGGGGTGTAAGCATAGATGTAGGGTTGTTAACCTTCGATACGACACGATTAATCGATACGAATTAAATGAATTTGAGTGAGATCTTAAAAAATTAACAAAAAAAAAAGAAGTAAAGAAAATGAATAAAAATAAATAAATAAAGTAGTAGTTCAAATGAGGAGAAGATGGAGAGGGTTGAGTTGCCTATAAAAAAACAATGACCTCTTGCTTTTCTTTTTAAGCCTTCAAATCTTTTTTTTATGAAATATGAGATTTGACTAAAAATTCCTTTTTTTTGAGATAAGTGCAATTGACAATAAAAAAGTTGAGTATTAAAATTTATTAAAATAATTTTTTAAAATTAAACGGGTTAAACGAGTCGTGTCGTGTTCGTGTTGAGATTTTTCACTCGTTTACTAAACGTGTCATATACGGGTTTATACATTTTTCACCCGTCACCCGTTTAATCCAACACGTAACCGTTTAACACGACACGTAACCATTTAACCCGATACGTTTGGCACTCCTACATAGATGGAAGGGATGGTTTTGAGATCAGCCGATTCAGTTAGTGTTTTGATGCTTGTCACCTCCTATGGTTGGACATTAGAAGTTGCCGGAGGGAATTGGGTTGGAGCTGTGGTGGCCATTTGAGACAGAGACAGAGTGCGAGAGGATGAGTATGAGAGAGAGTACAAAAATCTTCTCTTCTTGGTGGTGGACATCTACGCTCTCGTAAACATATTATTTATACCAGTAGCAACGCACATCGCTCAAGGATCAGGATAGGCACGTGTCTATCCTCAAAATTTTTATATTATATTTTTTTAAATATATTTAATTATGCTCATCTTATTATTTTTTTAAAAAAATATTATTGATACTTAATTTGATGACTTAATTTAGAGATCTAATTTAATATAATCATTGAATTAAAAACAGGTTTTATCTAACCTTGAAATTCACGACTAATCTAACAGTTACATTAAATTAGGTATTTATAACATTATTCTATTTTTTATCATATTAATTAGTACATACTCATATCTAAATGACTAACTAGGGGTGTTCATGGATCGGGTAGTCCAAATATCTCGTTATCCGACGAAAAAAATAGGCTCGAACCTTGATAGTTAACTTAAGTTTGACCTCAATATCTTTCAAGAGAGAGATTAGACCTACCCCGTGACCCATTATCCAGCCTAATAATTCATTTTATTATACATGTTGTGTATGAATTTGTATATTTTTCATCTATCACCCGTTTAATCTGACATATAACTATTTAACTTAACAAGATTGACATTCTACTTGTCCATAAAAATCCATTGAAACCTAATCACAAAGTAGAGATGTCAGTGGACCGAAGCAGAGGGCGAAGGGAATAGTTTCTATCCTCGTACCGGCTTAAAAAACCTTCGTTCATCTCTGATCCACACCCATTTACAGGTATAATTTTTATTCATGTCCCCGTCCACGGGTATATTTCTAATCCTCGCCCCCGTCCTTGTCCCCGCTCAAGCATAAGCCCAAGCCCAAGTTCAAACAAATGTAAGATAGGATTAAACATCGAATTAAGAGATAAAAAAAATACTAGCAATTATCTTAGAATTGCTGCACAATATTCCTAAAGGGTCATAGGGCAGAATTAACAGCAATTGAGAGAAAATTCCATGGAAAACAGTTCTAACCAAAATAAAGAAAGTCAATTAAACAATATTATCCTCCGAGATACTCAATAAGGCTAAATCAAAAAATACTGAAAAAATCACATACATAACTACAATAATTGTATTTTAAAAACGTAAGGGTTTAAGTAGTTTTGTCATGTGTAGATTACATGACACATGAAGACTTACGGAGAGAGTAGATTAAGGCTTTACGGGGTGTGTGTGTGTGTGTGTATATATATATATATAACGGGTAATGGGGACGGGATGAGAGCGCGGATAAGGGTAAGTCTATTTCTATCTTTATTCTCGCACGAATTTATACGAATATTTTTATATACGTTTATCGTTTAATATATATAATTTATTCTTGATCCAAATAAAACAAATTTAAACGAACAGACATTTTTTTTGGTTCACTGTGAACCCTTCCTCATAGCCCATCCGCCATTCTTCGGAGAAAATTCACACACTGTTGGATTTGAAACTTTGCCAGATAGGTAGAAAAAAGTTGGGTGGGAAAAAGTTCACAAACTCAGATGGTGTCGGTTATGGGCTAAAATAAACTCTTCCCTTCTTCCAATGATTTGAAGAAACCAGTCACGTGAGTCATTGTGAAATTATAACATCATTAATTATTCATTTAAAAGGTTGTCTTTGACATAGCCACAAAATCTATATAATAACACTAAGTAATAATATTTATACGAAGGTACGGTATAACATAAAAATTGAGTATTCTAAAAATTCAAACCACGTGATAACTGCTTTTTTTAAAAAAAATTGACAAAATTGTTACTGGTCACATAGTGCAACACAAAATCGAGTATTAATCATATAATACAAATATTTTTAATAGCATACAAATATTTCAAGTAACAATTTATTTTTCTTTTTTTTTTAGTTACAACTTTTTTTATTAATCTAAACCAACAATCCCTATTATTAAAATTTGACGAAGTTTNAAAAAAAAATAAAATCTGTCTATTAAAAAATTTGAATATCCTGTGGCTAAGTGAATGAGAGGATGTGATGAATATATCTGTACCTCAAACCTATAGGTTTGTTGGGATAGAGAAACTGATCCGGCTGCACAAAGAGCTTTAGAAAATCTCTCCACAAGAAAATTTTGCCGTTTGAAGTAGTCAAGCTTGTACCGCACTTGATTGGGTCTAAACTTTTCTTTCCTGCAAACTCCTTTTTCTCCTTCTTTTTAAGATTGAAAAATTCCGTACTCGCATCGATGATCCCCTTCAGCAGACACTCAGGTACACCATGATTGATCACCTGACACCCATCAACCAACACACATACTCATGTTCAACAAGCCCACGCTGGGTACTTTTCGACACTACTTAGATGTTACGAGTGGGTAATTTACCATAAAAACAATTTTTACTACTTTTTTAATTGCCACAACAGCAGTGAAAAACATCCACAATAATAATAAACCTACTCACAAATGTAATAAAAAGGAAGGAAAAAAGACTAAGATTTAAGAGAATACTGTGTTGAAGTTGGATACGATGATATATATACCATGGAGAGGCCCCATTCTTGACAGGCTTTGTCAAGGTCTTGTATGGCTTTGGAGCGCTGTTCAGGAACAGCAGAGGTGAGCAAGGAAAAATCAATAATAGGGATTGAAACTTCTTCCTCAAAAACACCGGGATTAGTTGGGGTGTAAGCATAGATGTAGGGTTGTTAACCTTCGATACGACACGATTAATCGATACGAATTAAATGAATTTGAGTGAGATCTTAAAAAATTAACAAAAAAAAAAGAAGTAAAGAAAATGAATAAAAATAAATAAATAAAGTAGTAGTTCAAATGAGGAGAAGATGGAGAGGGTTGAGTTGCCTATAAAAAAACAATGACCTCTTGCTTTTCTTTTTAAGCCTTCAAATCTTTTTTTTATGAAATATGAGATTTGACTAAAAATTCCTTTTTTTTGAGATAAGTGCAATTGACAATAAAAAAGTTGAGTATTAAAATTTATTAAAATAATTTTTTAAAATTAAACGGGTTAAACGAGTCGTGTCGTGTTCGTGTTGAGATTTTTCACTCGTTTACTAAACGTGTCATATACGGGTTTATACATTTTTCACCCGTCACCCGTTTAATCCAACACGTAACCGTTTAACACGACACGTAACCATTTAACCCGATACGTTTGGCACTCCTACATAGATGGAAGGGATGGTTTTGAGATCAGCCGATTCAGTTAGTGTTTTGATGCTTGTCACCTCCTATGGTTGGACATTAGAAGTTGCCGGAGGGAATTGGGTTGGAGCTGTGGTGGCCATTTGAGACAGAGACAGAGTGCGAGAGGATGAGTATGAGAGAGAGTACAAAAATCTTCTCTTCTTGGTGGTGGACATCTACGCTCTCGTAAACATATTATTTATACCAGTAGCAACGCACATCGCTCAAGGATCAGGATAGGCACGTGTCTATCCTCAAAATTTTTATATTATATTTTTTTAAATATATTTAATTATGCTCATCTTATTATTTTTTTAAAAAAATATTATTGATACTTAATTTGATGACTTAATTTAGAGATCTAATTTAATATAATCATTGAATTAAAAACAGGTTTTATCTAACCTTGAAATTCACGACTAATCTAACAGTTACATTAAATTAGGTATTTATAACATTATTCTATTTTTTATCATATTAATTAGTACATACTCATATCTAAATGACTAACTAGGGGTGTTCATGGATCGGGTAGTCCAAATATCTCGTTATCCGACGAAAAAAATAGGCTCGAACCTTGATAGTTAACTTAAGTTTGACCTCAATATCTTTCAAGAGAGAGATTAGACCTACCCCGTGACCCATTATCCAGCCTAATAATTCATTTTATTATACATGTTGTGTATGAATTTGTATATTTTTCATCTATCACCCGTTTAATCTGACATATAACTATTTAACTTAACAAGATTGACATTCTACTTGTCCATAAAAATCCATTGAAACCTAATCACAAAGTAGAGATGTCAGTGGACCGAAGCAGAGGGCGAAGGGAATAGTTTCTATCCTCGTACCGGCTTAAAAAACCTTCGTTCATCTCTGATCCACACCCATTTACAGGTATAATTTTTATTCATGTCCCCGTCCACGGGTATATTTCTAATCCTCGCCCCCGTCCTTGTCCCCGCTCAAGCATAAGCCCAAGCCCAAGTTCAAACAAATGTAAGATAGGATTAAACATCGAATTAAGAGATAAAAAAAATACTAGCAATTATCTTAGAATTGCTGCACAATATTCCTAAAGGGTCATAGGGCAGAATTAACAGCAATTGAGAGAAAATTCCATGGAAAACAGTTCTAACCAAAATAAAGAAAGTCAATTAAACAATATTATCCTCCGAGATACTCAATAAGGCTAAATCAAAAAATACTGAAAAAATCACATACATAACTACAATAATTGTATTTTAAAAACGTAAGGGTTTAAGTAGTTTTGTCATGTGTAGATTACATGACACATGAAGACTTACGGAGAGAGTAGATTAAGGCTTTACGGGGTGTGTGTGTGTGTGTGTATATATATACATATAACGGGTAATGGGGACGGGATGAGAGCGCGGATAAGGGTAAGTCTATTTCTATCTTTATTCTCGCACGAATTTATACGAATATTTTTATATACGTTTATCGTTTAATATATATAATTTATTCTTGATCCAAATAAAACAAATTTAAACGAACAGACATTTTTTTTGGTTCACTGTGAACCCTTCCTCATAGCCCATCCGCCATTCTTCGGAGAAAATTCACACACTGTTGGATTTGAAACTTTGCCAGATAGGTAGAAAAAAGTTGGGTGGGAAAAAGTTCACAAACTCAGATGGTGTCGGTTATGGGCTAAAATAAACTCTTCCCTTCTTCCAATGATTTGAAGAAACCAGTCACGTGAGTCATTGTGAAATTATAACATCATTAATTATTCATTTAAAAGGTTGTCTTTGACATAGCCACAAAATCTATATAATAACACTAAGTAATAATATTTATACGAAGGTACGGTATAACATAAAAATTGAGTATTCTAAAAAATCAAACCACGTGATAACTGCTTTTTTTAAAAAAAATTGACAAAATTGTTACTGGTCACATAGTGCAACACAAAATCGAGTATTAATCATATAATACAAATATTTTTAATAGCATACAAATATTTCAAGTAACAATTTATTTTTCTTTTTTTTTTAGTTACAACTTTTTTTATTAATCTAAACCAACAATCCCTATTATTAAAATTTGACGAAGTTTACTTTAAAAATAGAACATAAAAAAAAAAAATCAACTTATGCACATAATCACGTTGCAATAATAGGTTGCTAAGCTTTCGTTGCTAGCCTTCCCAACTGAATTTTTACTAAAAGAGAACATCGGGACAACATCAATAAAGGGAAAAAAATAGAGAAAAGAACGTTGAGTCACAGGGTCGATCAAATNAAAAAAAAATCAACTTATGCACATAATCACGTTGCAATAATAGGTTGCTAAGCTTTCGTTGCTAGCCTTCCCAACTGAATTTTTACTAAAAGAGAACATCGGGACAATATCAATAAAGGGAAAAAAATAGAGAAAAGAACGNCCCCTTCAGCAGACACTCAGGTACACCATGATTGATCACCTGACACCCATCAACCAACACACATACTCATGTTCAACAAGCCCATGCTGGGTACTTTTCGACACTACTTAGATGTTACGAGTGGGTAATTTACCATAAAAACAATTTTTACTACTTTTTTAATTGCCACAACAGCAGTGAAAAACATCCACAATAATAATAAACCTACTCACAAATGTAATAAAAAGGAAGGAAAAAAGACTAAGATTTAAGAGAATACTGTGTTGAAGTTGGATACGATGATATATATACCATGGAGAGGCCCCATTCTTGACAGGCTTTGTCAAGGTCTTGTATGGCTTTGGAGCGCTGTTCAGGAACAGCAGAGGTGAGCAAGGAAAAATCAATAATAGGGATTGAAACTTCTTCCTCAAAAACACCGGGATTAGTTGGGGTGTAAGCATAGATGTAGGGTTGTTAACCTTCGATACGACACGATTAATCGATACGAATTAAATGAATTTGAGTGAGATCTTAAAAAATTAACAAAAAAAAAAGAAGTAAAGAAAATGAATAAAAATAAATAAATAAAGTAGTAGTTCAAATGAGGAGAAGATGGAGAGGGTTGAGTTGCCTATAAAAAAACAATGACCTCTTGCTTTTCTTTTTAAGCCTTCAAATCTTTTTTTTATGAAATATGAGATTTGACTAAAAATTCCTTTTTTTTGAGATAAGTGCAATTGACAATAAAAAAGTTGAGTATTAAAATTTATTAAAATAATTTTTTAAAATTAAACGGGTTAAACGAGTCGTGTCGTGTTCGTGTTGAGATTTTTCACTCGTTTACTAAACGTGTCATATACGGGTTTATACATTTTTCACCCGTCACCCGTTTAATCCAACACGTAACCGTTTAACACGACACGTAACCATTTAACCCGATACGTTTGGCACTCCTACATAGATGGAAGGGATGGTTTTGAGATCAGCCGATTCAGTTAGTGTTTTGATGCTTGTCACCTCCTATGGTTGGACATTAGAAGTTGCCGGAGGGAATTGGGTTGGAGCTGTGGTGGCCATTTGAGACAGAGACAGAGTGCGAGAGGATGAGTATGAGAGAGAGTACAAAAATCTTCTCTTCTTGGTGGTGGACATCTACGCTCTCGTAAACATATTATTTATACCAGTAGCAACGCACATCGCTCAAGGATCAGGATAGGCACGTGTCTATCCTCAAAATTTTTATATTATATTTTTTTAAATATATTTAATTATGCTCATCTTATTATTTTTTTAAAAAAATATTATTGATACTTAATTTGATGACTTAATTTAGAGATCTAATTTAATATAATCATTGAATTAAAAACAGGTTTTATCTAACCTTGAAATTCACGACTAATCTAACAGTTACATTAAATTAGGTATTTATAACATTATTCTATTTTTTATCATATTAATTAGTACATACTCATATCTAAATGACTAACTAGGGGTGTTCATGGATCGGGTAGTCCAAATATCTCGTTATCCGACGAAAAAAATAGGCTCGAACCTTGATAGTTAACTTAAGTTTGACCTCAATATCTTTCAAGAGAGAGATTAGACCTACCCCGTGACCCATTATCCAGCCTAATAATTCATTTTATTATACATGTTGTGTATAAATTTGTATATTTTTCATCTATCACCCGTTTAATCTGACATATAACTATTTAACTTAACAAGATTGACATTCTACTTGTCCATAAAAATCCATTGAAACCTAATCACAAAGTAGAGATGTCAGTGGACCGAAGCAGAGGGCGAAGGGAATAGTTTCTATCCTCGTACCGGCTTAAAAAACCTTCGTTCATCTCTGATCCACACCCATTTACAGGTATAATTTTTATTCATGTCCCCGTCCACGGGTATATTTCTAATCCTCGCCCCCGTCCTTGTCCCCGCTCAAGCATAAGCCCAAGCCCAAGTTCAAACAAATGTAAGATAGGATTAAACATCGAATTAAGAGATAAAAAAAATACTAGCAATTATCTTAGAATTGCTGCACAATATTCCTAAAGGGTCATAGGGCAGAATTAACAGCAATTGAGAGAAAATTCCATGGAAAACAGTTCTAACCAAAATAAAGAAAGTCAATTAAACAATATTATCCTCCGAGA